TCTGATGACTCTGTAAAGCAGAACTGTGATAGGAATATTGCATCATCCAGGGCTACCAGATCCAGCCAGGATTTTTTTTTTTTTATTTCTTACTTTCCTGAAGGATTGACAGTGTGGCATGAGTAGACAGTCCAAAGTCATCTGAGTTTTCTTCTCTTCGTTCTTTCACTAAGCAATTACTTAACTTCCCCTCTGTCGGTGTCTTGAACACTGTGCTGGTACCTGGTGGAAGGAGGAGCCAGGAGATGGGTTTCCATCTAAGAAGTGGTAGGCCTTCCTTCCTTTTAAGTTGGAGATTTTGTGCCTGTTACCTCATTTTCCCAGTAGGCTTTGAGGCTTATCCAGCTTTGTCTGGGAAAGATAATTAGAATGTGTTTTTCTTACAGAAAAGTACATTGACAGAAAAGGGATACACCATTTTTAAGGAATGTCAATCAAGTCACCTCTCGCTCAACTGTCTCAATCCTGGGTTGTTAAAGTTAATGCCGACTAAATATTAGATTCACATTTTAATGACTAGAATGTCTGGCTTGGGTCACATTTATGACGTTTGCCTACATGCCCTTTATCTACACTGCTGCCTAGTCTTTGGTAAGCCTCCTGGGACTCAGTAGAAGGTGTGAAATAGAGTTAACAGCTATTGCTGCAGTCTTCTGAATGCGCCTATCTCCCCTCTGTCCTATGCCCGGTCGCTGGCTCAGGAGACCATCTCTCATTTTCCAGTCTCTGTTGGTATAGTAAGTCTTCGTGGTAACACACTCGGCTGTATACTTTGCAAGTAATTGCAGATCAGAGTGAACCGCAGGCATGGCTCACTGTGTGGTCCAACACAGCTGGACGATGCCACCTTTGCCTCACTTTCACATAAAGGAGAAGGACGGAGGAGCAGCAAAGCTGTGCACAGGGTTACATCAAAACCGCACTTGTCATGCAGTGAACCCATCTCCCAGCCGGCAGCCAGCGACGTCCCATGGCCAAATGGGAAAAAAAAAAAAAACAATTTAAAGACTTAGGGATTTCTATCTAAAATTCTTCCAAATGGGTTATAGGTTTTATCATCTGGGGGCAGAGCACTTTAAAAACCATTATAAGTAGCTAGCAAAATTCCCATGTGCAAGTTGCATTTTCTCTAAGAAAGACATCAGATACTGCATGGTCGCAGTTGCTCAAGTTCAATGCAGTCACCAAATGACTAATGCAGAGTAATGATGGAGGGGCCCATTCACATTGAATAAAAAATTGAATTACAGAATACTTTATAACACCCTGGCCTGGCAAAAGAGGGCTGCTTTGTAGGAGGTGGTCTGCTTGTTGGTTCTCGGCTACCCGGGCTAACTTAGACCCTAAATAATCACACAGACACTGTATTAATTAAATCACTACTTGGCTCATTAGCTCTAGCTTCTTATTGGCTAACTATTACATATTAACTTAACCTGTTTCTGTTAATCTGCGTATTGCCACATGGCAGTGGCTTACCAGCAAATTTCCCAGCATCTGTCTCTGACCGCTCCATGGCTTCTCTCTGACTTCGCCCTTCTTTTTCCCAGCATTCAACCTAGCTTTCCCTGCTTACCTAAGTTCTGTCTTGTTATAGGTCCAAAGCAGTTTCTTTATTCATTAATGGTAACCACAGCACACAGAGGGGACTCCCACATCACTGCTCCAGTCACCAAAGCCACAGCCTAAAACCCTTCAGGATGTCCCTTAGGAAGTCTCTTAAATAAGCTAGAAAATTTCTTTGTATGCTGCCGACTGGCTCGACAGAACTCTTCTGTGTGTCAGCCTTTGAACTGACTACGGGAATGGGGATTTCAAGTTAGTGCAGTGAAAACTGGTAGTATTGCTTTATTATCCAGAAATAATGGACTTTGTTGAAATTTAGATTTTTTTTAAAGTGCACTGTAAGACATCAAGATGGAAGTCTTATTAGTCTTATTCAACATATAATACATTTAAACTTCTCAGATGTTTGATAAATAAATCAGCCAATTGGCCATACACACGTCATACAACCGTACACAGTTTCTTTGAGGTTTGTTTACCTTCAGTTCGCGAAAGCCCCTTCACCGGTGAATTCAAAACTCAGTAACACACTGTCAGGACTGTGAACACTAGGAATCACATGGGGTGGAAAGCGGCCTTTATCACCTGCCACCTTCACGACAGCTACAGAAAAGTGGCCTCACCTGCCATGTCTGTGCCACCTATAGCTACATGATGTACCAGGATACATATTCATGTCTGCAAATCATACTTGAGAGAAAACTAATGATATCACCTTCCATGACATGAAACAGCGGGACACCTTGTAGAAGCTCCAGATGTCTCTCTGTACCGTGTTCCTTGCAGAATCTGTGTGCTAGGCGTGTTCCTTCAGCCTGCTTACGCTATGATCCTTCTAGCTTGTATGAGAAAAAGTCAGTAGGGTAAATATTTTTTCTTTCATTCAGACCAAAATGTAGTCTTGGATTTTTTTTCTTCCTCAAATAATTACGTTACACACGCTTTTAAAAATTCAAACTCTCAGCTGAGCATTTTTGCTCTTCTGAAGCTTGCCCTTTATTCTTCCCCTGTTTCATTCTGTTCTTTTTGTCCTGGCTCATCGCTGGCATATCCAGTCAGCCACAGTTCTTTGCCTCCCATTTAGCCACCAGGTATAAAGTGGCTAACTGTAAAGGCGTGTTCTGGCAGCTAGTCCCAATGTATATCCAAAGGCTAAGCTAGCTGCACTGGGAAATTTCCCCGGAGGGCTACTCTGGAGAATGTGGAGCCGTTTGTTGAGCTGTCTGATGTGGAAGAACAAAGTAGCTGCCTTTGCACAATGGGCTCACCGAGTGCCTCTCAGAGCAGAGCAAGAAATCAAAGGACAACTTCCGGTCCACTTCCGTTTCCAAGGCTGTTCTTGGCAACCAGGGCATCAGAGGTCGTGTCTTGTGGTATTTTTCAAGAAGTCACTGAGAAAAGAAAAGGTTATGGCAAATTTACTGACACCATGGACTGTTCTGGGAAATTATCACCACCCCAGAACTTACCTGTATGTCTATCTGTCTGTGTCTGACACACACAGCTTCTACATGGATCTGTAACAACGTTTAGAAACAGAAGGGAACATACATTGTATTGATTTCAAGGTCCAAAAAGGGATTTCAACAAAATTAGGATCATTAAAATATTTGATTGAATGTCTGTGAAATATTTAACATCAACTTTATTAAGTAACAAATTTATTAGGCTTAAAAATTGTATCATGAATACTACTGGAAAGATGACTCAGCTGTTAAGAGCACTGGCTGTTCTTCCAGAGGATCCCAGTTCAGTCTCCAGCCCCCACACTGTGACTCACAGTTGTCTATAACTCCAGTCTCAGGGGACCCCATACGCATGTCTGAGGGAGCCAGGCATGTACATGATACACAAACATACATGCATACAAAATACCCATACATATAAAATAAATATATTTTTAAAGATCAAAAATTATCTCGTTATATCACACAAGAGAAGAAATTATGGATGCAGTTTTCTTACCTTCCAAGATTTTGAGCATGCCAATCATAAGTGGCATATAGTCATCTCTATTTCAAAGGATCCCCTCCATCTATCCCACAAGGGAACACATTTCATATAGAATATGGAAGCATATCATTCTGGTTTTTATGATTTTTTTTATTTATTATGTATACAGTTTTCTGTCTGCATGTCTGCCTCCAGGTCAGAGGAGGGTGCCAGATCTCATTACAGATGGGTGTGAGCCACCATGTGGTTGTTGGGAATTGAACTCGGGACCTCTGGAAGAGCAGCCGGTGATCTTAACCACTAAGCCACCTCTCCAGTCCCTGCATATCATACTTTATGTGATGTGTGTGGTAGGACCTAAAACTGGAGAGCGTACCCTGGTGAAGATTTTTCAAACAACACTGCACCCCTTCATCACATATATTATTATTATCACAGATTCATGTCCGCTCAGGCTCCCTAAGGAGGACCAGGGGTTGCCCAGATGAAGGAGGTTGAGGTTCTGCTCTGTTCTTGCTGCAACCACCCATGGTTAGGGTAAAGAGACAGGGGAAGTGGAGCTTGAGGAGCTTCCAAAGAACCTGTACATCATGGAAAAGGCCCCAGAATATCCCTCACTCTATGTAAGGAAATACCCTTTGAGATAGGGGAGCCAAGCCATCCATTTGGGTCACACCAATGGAATTCCTTTGTGCCTTTTTCTGGTGTTCTTTGCAGGTGGATGACCTGCCCTTCTGTTCAACATTTCCTACCTGAACCGAGATTTCTGTTGTAGAATAGGACCTGTAATGTGGTGGGGATGGAGTAAGGGGTGGGTTGTCTGGGTTCCATTGTTAAATGGTGGGGACAGGATAAAGGGTGGTCTGTCTGGGTACCATGTGAGATAATCCTGGTCATTAACCCACTGGCCTAACTTCTTCAGGTATTATTTCATTATCCCACATACGGGATAATGAATGTAAACTCCCCCCAAAACATAAAAAGTGGCAATTCCTTGTAATCCCATCACACAACAATAATTATGCATGACACTAAATCTTGCAGAATCTTTTCTTTTACATTCACTAAGATATTACTCACCTTTGTTAGAGCAACATAATAAATATGATTTTAAAAATAGTTTGCCCTTAATGCATTTCCATTTCAGTATGTATGACTTCACCTCATGTATTTTAATGATTTCATGGTATTTCACTGCATGGATGGGCCATAGTTGATTTCACTGCCCTTTATTAGTAGATATCAGAAGTGGAAATTCAGGTTTGACTTTGGAGAATGGGTCATATATCTAAAAAAAAAAAAATTACTGTCTGCTCCTACTTTAACTGAACTCATACCAGAAGTAGAAATGACCATCTCTAACCATCTCTGTATTGGTTTAAATGTAAATTTAATTAATTAATTGCTATTAAATGTAAAGCCTCTGTGGGATTTGCTATTTATTTCTTTGTCTTCTGTTTCTGCCCTTTCCTCTTCTGCAGTCATCTACATCCGGGGACAAGGAAGAGCCGTCTTTACCGGTAGGAAGCAGTAGCCCTGCCTATTCCTGTGCCTGTGCCTGGCAGGGATGAGAAGGGGCTCTGTGCTTGCAAATCTTCCTCTCCCTTGGAATACTTGTGGTTTGATCCATTGGAGGGGGGTGGATACTTCTGTCCTACAATTACTAACAATTGAACTCTGGCATCCACTCCTAAATTATTTCTGGGCTTACGTTTCAAAATCTTGAATTCTTTCTTCCATTGGGCCTGAACTTTTATAAGCATGAAAGGGGTAAGAATGTCTAATTACATTCCAAGGGATGTTGGCTGAAATGTGGAGACAGTGTGGGATCTAATGCTTGAGAAATGTTTTTTTGTGTGTGTCTGCATGCACACTCTCTTTGCCATGCTGCATGAAATGTAAATATTCAGTCTAGGCAATACTGCCTGAAAGAATGCTTAGTGTCTTCCATGGACATAATTCAGGTCTAACGGAGATGTACACAGCAGAGTTCTTGTGGTTTCCCAGAATAACCACCGTAGTAGCAGTGGTTATTATGACAAATTACTAACAACGACCACGTTTTCAGTTGCTCTGCAATTAACACATGACATTTCATATTGTGCTGCCTGGCAAGGAAATGACCTTGTGAGTTTTTGTGTGCAGCAAACAGTTATTCCATTTCCACCGGGTTTAAGCCTGCTACCTTTGCCCCTAGAATATTTTTGAACCGTGCTGATCTGAAGCCCCCGTAACTAAATGCCACAGGGCATTTCTAAATGCTACAGGCTTTTAAGGAAGAAAGGGATCGCCATGGAAATGTTGGTGACCCTGTAGTATTTCCTTCCATTGACACTCAGAGCAAAGATGTGACATTCACTGAACACCCAGAGGATACACTAGACTCAAGGCCAAGGTACAGCTCACGCGTCAGCTGCCTTCAAAGAGCTCAAACGGTGTTCATCACTTAGACACCAGTATTCTCCTTCATTCACCCCCGAACTCTGATGGGTTAGGAATACAGCTTTAATAGAATTACAATAAAACCCCTGCTGATTTCTCTCTGTATTACATACTGAGATTTTACCTATACTTCAATCTTGCAATAGGTTTTAGGTTTACCAACAATTTTTGAACCGTGTCCCTCAATAGGTATTTTCTGGAGTAAGAGACATAAGGTCAATAACTTGGAACTGTATTTCTTTTGTGTTACAATATTCTAAAGATGAGTTGTCCTAGAAGGTATCACCCTGTCCACATGTGATTGATTGTGGGGTCTCGTGGAAAATCTGTGATGGAGGAGTTTGAAGACTTGGCAAAAATGGGGTTTTGATTTTTCCAGACCATATAAAATTTTCTTGTCAAATTTTTTTAGACCAACAGTTAAATTTAAAAAAAAAAGTAATCTAAGTCAGGCATGGCAGTGGATTTAGTGAGAACGAGGCGGCAGGTAGATGGTAGATGTCTGTGAGTTAGAGGCCAGCCTGATCTACAGTATGAGTTTTAGGACAGCCGGGACTCCACAGAGAAACCCTGTCTTAAAAGATAAAACAAATAAATCAAAAAAATAAATGAATCTGCTTATAGCATCCCTCCTCCTCAAGGCTGCCTCTGTCCTCTGTGCTCACCACCACAGGCTCAAGCACAAAGAAGAACGCCATTTCTAGTCAGGATGCAAAGCTGTCCAAATAAAGAGGGCTTGGGCAGCTTTGGTTTGATTTAAGACTGTTTGCTTTTGAAGAAAAAAGTAAAAGTCTGTTGGTAACCCCATCTCCTGAAGCTCACTAGGCTCCTCAGATCTCAGTTCCAGCTATCAGAGCATTAAGGTCACAACTAGAAGGACTCAGTGCCAAGGAGGCTTCTTGGAAGCCAGGAAGCTCTGTCTGGAGACACAATAGGAAAGTCCCTTTTGTTTCTCACTTAACAAGGACCTCAGAGCTTCCTGGGTCAGAGACTAGAGACAGGAACCCCAGAAGTCGTGTAAGACGATATGGTGCAGCCCATCTAATGACGCAGACATAGGTGCAAACAAAGATCTTGCTGATAGAATACACAATCTAAAAATTCTAAAGACTGTCTGCTAGGTTATGAAGAGTCTTTAAGAAAAGCAAACCTGGAATCCACGCCCCTATCCAATACTTTCTGTCTGTGTGATCCAGAACCTCATTTCACTCCTCAGAGACTTCAGGTTAATACTAACAACATCAGGCCCACAAGGCTCATTCTGAAAGCGAAATGAATGAACGGTGTGACGCATGCCACACCCTGCCTGCTTTGTACTAACCTCTTTGGTTAAAAAGGGGCGGAGGTGGGGGGCAAAATGGATGCATTTAGTAGAAAAAAAAACATTTCCCTGGGACGTTTGAAAGGTGCTTTGAAGTTCTTTGGTTCAACTTTGTATGCCCATATAGCAGAGATGAGTGACCACAGGCTGGGTGAGGCCCCCTGTGATGTACTTGGTGTTCATTGCTGAGAACTAACGGTGTCTTTGGTTTCTCCGCTCAGGCTAAGCCGCGCCTCCAGCGAGGTGGGAGTTCTGCCTCTCTCCACAACAGTCTTATGAGGAATAGCATCTTCCAGCTCATGATACACACCCTTGACCCGCTCGCCGAAGGTAACCGTCAGGCTTGGGTTTGGGATTGCTGTTTGGGGGAGAGGAGGATGTCAAATACTTTGCATATGTATGCTGAGGTTACACACACCTGCCAAACTCCTCTCGGTTAGCATCGTGAGTTGAAATCTTAACTCTGTCACGGGCTTCATTCACCAGTGCTGAGCTCCTGGCAGGGTGGTTTTACGCCAGGGGTAGAATATGAGTTCCATGTGCTGATTCCGTCTGTTGATGCCTTTGGCGAAAACACAGTTTGTTTGGAGGCAGGGACAGAAAAGTCTCCCTCACGTCCAGTATTTCCCTTTATCACTTTCAACCAAGTTGTGTGTGAAGATAAATTGCATACCCTAAAAAGAATGGGAAAAAGAACTCTATTCCTGCAGAGGGCTATGAATAATTTAGAAAGTGATGTTCTCTGAAGACCAGTGATATGGTACTGTTTTCCTGGCAGGTGGGTGGGGGTAGCATCTAAGCATTCAAAAGGCCCTGCATAACTCCTTGAGTCCAGCCCCTGGGGACCCAAAATGCCTGGTTCACCTCCCATGGCTATTATAAGAACTATCACAAAGAACCCAGTATTATCTCCTTCCAGTTTTACTTAGTCACAAAGCCAAATATGCCTTTTATCTTCAATTTCATCGGTATCCTAAATATGATTCTTGTAGTAAGTGGGTAGCTGCTGTAAGCAAGTAAATGATCAGAACTCTGTCACAAACAAGGGGTTCAGCAGACAGGTCTACCCTTCTGCTCCTGAATCTCATCACCTTCCCTAGGAAGACACAGGGATTGTGGGACAAGTAGACAAAGATGTAGGCACAGGTCACTGAAAAGACACAGGAGATCTGACTATCAGTCATATTGCATACATCAGGTGTCTTATGGAAAAGAGACCACTGCCAAGGTCTTTCCAACCTAGAGCTGCTCAAGACTTACATGGTGTAAAGGACAGCCGGGGATCTGAAGACCAGTTCCCCAGGCCCTGTCTGTCCCATTGGACATGAGCCTCTCCTCAGAATAAGCAGTGAGGATCCCAGGTCACATCCCACTTAAGAGCACAGAGCCTTTCAGTTACAAAGCACCCATTCTAACCCAAGAGCAGAGCTGGCATGATGCTCCCCACAAGAAGTTTGGCTGCGCACTCCAAATTCTACCTGATCCCTGTGGAACCAGCCAAGATAGCATCCCTCTGTCCACCCAGTGGTCTATCCCTCTGTTCACCCAGTGGTCCATCCCTCTGTTCACCCAGTGATCCATCCCTCTGTTCACTCAGTGGTCCAGTTGACGAGGGAATTATCAACCACCATTCCTTGTTTCCTTTCATCCCCGACAAAAGGAGTGAAGGAATCACTGTCACCCCATCTCCTGCCGCTACGCAGCCGTGTGACTTTGGGCAAGCTGGGGTCTCTCTCTCCAGAATCTGGCTTCTTCATCTATCATTAGCACCTTTCTTCCCTGGACTCTTTACATTTGACAGCATGTTCATGCTTGTGAGTGTATGGCCACCACCGTACTGCGCCATTCTCCTTCCGTAGAGGATTGGGTGACCAACAGAGACCCCCAGGTGTGCCTCCTGCTCACCCTTTGCCATCGTGATCTTCTGGCCATCTTCTTGCTTCCTCTGCAGCTCCAGAGCTGGTCCTCTTGCTTAGCTTCCATCTATTTCCCACACAGCGGTCCGGGTCATCTTTAAAAGTCAACCCGATTGTGTAAGCGCCTACTTAACAACCTTTGGTGGCTTACTAGGGTCCTTAGGAAAACTATGAGACCATCACCACAGTCCCCAGGATGTGTTTCTCATTGCAAATGTTTGGAGTCCCCATATTCAGATAGCTACTCTCACCCATCTTGCCATCTTCCCTGTTCCTGCCACCAGAACATTCTTCCTTCCCTCCACCCTTCTCCCACCTTCCCTTGCTCTCCTCCCTTCCCTTCCTTGGTCCTCTGACCATCTGTGACAAATCAGGGCCTCCAGTCCTCACCTGCATATGCTCTCGCCCTGCTTTTTTTACAGCACCCCTTGCGGTCCCTGTGGTTGTTCCCAGGTTCTTGAGGGCGTGGGTGTTCTGTCATTCATCAGTTGTCCCCAAAGTCCAGCTGAGCACCCAGCACATCATTGCTGCTAAGGCTCAGTTCTAAAGCCCCTGAAAGCCAATTCGGGCTTGAGGTTGTCAATGAATCATTCGTGGATTATCTGGGAACCATTTCCTTTGCCTCCTATTGCCCTGGAGACACAACTGAGAAAGGAACAATTGTTTCTGTCCCAGCTCTGTCAGGGCAGCTGCTGAGGAGTTTGGGTTTCTGAAAAGGCAGTATTCTATGGTAAAGACAAAAGGCTCCAAGCCCGAACCCTCTGGCTCTGGATCCCACTTCTGCATTTACTAGCTATGTGACCTTGAACAGCTTACCTACCTGTCTCTACCTCAGTTCCTTCATCTATAAAATCACAGTGATAATGATGTCTGCCCCCTAAAGCTGCCATAAGAATTAGAGGCAGGAAGACAGAGAACACAGCACACTGCCGGCGAGCTGAGCAGGTTTGAGGCTGTTCGCCTACATTATTGTGATAAGCAGGTAGTAGTCTAGTGGGGGGCAGGGGGAGCCTTTAGGTGTTCAAAGGGGTTGTTGTAAAACAAGCTCTCCTCCTCTACCAACCGTCCACCCAGTTTTCTCAGTTCCCCAAGTCTCCCTCAGAGAAACCATTGTTGTCAGGTTCTTGGAGCTCCTTTTAGAGAAATTCTATCATAAGTAAATGTGTGTGGGTTGTATGTGTGTCTGTGTGTTGTGTGTGTGTTGTGTGGGTCTGTGTGTGTTGTTTGTCTGTATGTGCTGTGTTTGTGTGTTATGTGTGTCTGTGTGTGTTGTGTTTGTGTGTCATGTGTGTTGTGTCTGTGTGTTGTGTGTCTGTATGCTGTGTGTTGTGTATATTGTGTGTATTGCATGTTTGTGTGTGTGTGCTATGTGTATGTGTGTGCATTATTTGTGTGTTGTGTGTGTCTGTGTGTGGTGTGTGTGTCTATGTGTGTTATTGTGTATATATTGTGTGTGTTATGTATATGTTGTGTGTGTTGAGTGT